CTGTCGCGAAATGGAAGTGGAGTAACCAATCTTCGTCGTCAAGTATGAAACGTCGCAGTGACACTACGAACTTGCCGAATGCGAGCGCGACGCGTTTAAGTCTCGCTATGCGTCTCGTCTCCTTACGCGCTGCTCTTTTCTCGTATCCTACATGTCACGATAATGGATAGAATAGACTCCAAGCTCCGTGAGCTCGGACGTAAGACGCCTGGCTATTTATTTCTACTCGCAAGCTATGTTCTTCCGCAAACTTGTGGACCCGGGGTAGCCAGCGTATGTCCGAGTCGCTGCTGGCGTGAACGTTCAGCTGCAGCGATAATTTCTTGAGAGGAGAGAGGGGTTCTATGTTTATTAGACAGTAGACAGGCAACGAGTACGGCGTGGTAGTGCAGCACTGAGACCGGGATGACGAGATGGAGAGACCTCGATAACGTTAAGTCGTGCTTAGACTGGCTCAGTTGCCGCGTTTGTAGTCAACTGTAGTCGACTACAAATCATTTCTTATTGGATCTCGATCTTCTCGAGGGCCGGCAAATTCAGGTTAAGGGCAGGTGAACAGTTCAATCTCAGCTTGGAAACGTAAGCGGCTGCTCGGCGAAATAGAGTTAGTTTCTGTGAACCGGGTTCCCACGGCAAATCCACCAGCCTCTCTAGCATGATTCTGCCCTCAATCACGCTACGAGAGGCGGTCACGAGCCTATCCGCTGGCAGGTTTCGACGATATCACCTGCAACATACGCTACCATGCAAACATCAGCCTCTGCAGGTCTCTTATCCCCAGATACACCTCCAGCTCACGTACGAAGACGCCCACAAGCAGTTTCCTCCGCGCCGCACGTCCCGGTGCAGGCATTTCCGCTCGTGCGTGGATAGTCTTCGGGTTATTAGCGTCACCGCCCCCTGGGAAGAACTTACAGTGACTCACAGATGGTCTAGGAGGCGTCCCTGGTCAGACATCCCGCCCAACTCCGGCACGGAACGTCGAAGCCCGGCTTGGAACGCGAATGCCGGTGAACCCTGGGTGCTCCTTGACGTAAGTATCTTTTGCGTCTCTTCTCGTCGGCCTCGCTGCCTTGTATCCCCGTTGCGGTAGATATTTGATTTGTGTCTTGCTGATAGCCAAGCCGTTGTCGTTATGCCAGCGCCGCAGGTCCTCCGTCGAGAGCGTCGAAGGTCAGGACAACTGTGTTCTTCTAGTCCTTTCTCGATTTTGGTACTACTGACATGAGTAGTCTATCCCTGCCGGACATAAGTGTCGGTGTTGTCCCAGCGCGGGGCGCAAAAGCGTCAATGCATTTCCCGTTCCCGGACGGGTAAACCCATACCTATACCGCGCACCGACACTGTATAAAACATGCGGCTCTAACGTATCGAACCCCAATTTAAGCGCCTACACATCGAGGAACATAGGTACATTTTTGCGTCGCGCCAAGTACTAGTCGCTTGCGCTGTATCAGATTCAATACAAAGTCACTGATATTCCTCTCTTTCCATACTTTTCCTTTAGGAGAATTGACTCCGAGTAAACTGCCACAAGTTGTCGGTCGAGCTATGTCTGTTTTGGATGCTACTGTACAGTTGTTCATTGTATTCTGGAGCGAATAGTGATTCTGGCGCAGAAAGTCACGGCGACTCAGGTGTGTACAAGCGGGACCTCATAGGAAGGTCGAATGACCGTTCACGATTTTCAGGCATATCAGGTCCTTCCACTCAAGCGATGCAAACCTGTCACCACTAGGCGCTGTCTCTTAATAGTCGTTGGAACAGATCTCGATGTCTCCTGCCCGCCATATCTCCTACTTGCTGTCCACTCGCGGCTTCGTAGAATGGAACGTGTAGCGACTAATGAGCTCTATCTATGCTATCGATTGATTTGGGCGCCAGCGCTCGCCTAGTGGCACTATAAAGTCAGCGCCCAGAAGATCAAGTAAGCCTCTCAGGCCCACCATGACCGACTTTGTCGTCGCCTTTGGTCCTTCGGACGAGTCCTTCTTCATAGCTGCTGGGTCGTCCACCCGCAAAGGTGCCCAGATCCCTGCCGGAATGCATGGCAAGCTCGATGCAGAGCTCAACACCCCCATCACGTTTGCCGCCATTGGCCCATCCGGGCAGTGGTTTGTCCGGGGCAAGAACAAGGACAACACCGGCTGGCACGTCTGTACGTCTTTTGCGCTTTCCCAAAACAGCCCGGCGGCTGATCATCGGGTTCGATGCGCAGACTGGAATACCGCGGACCTTGCCGGGCCCGCCGAACACCTAAAGGCCCGTGTCACCCAGACGTACGGCGTGACATTCGGTCCTGGGGGTGCGTGCAGCTGGTCCAGCAAGACCTATGGTTGGCACTACTAGGGCCTCGCGGCGGATCAAATTGCGTGGATCAACAAGATGAAGGCGGCGCAGACTTCAGGCTCTTTATCGGCGCGGGCCACGCCACAGTCATGCTATACAAGGACAACGTAAGTCAGTGGAGCCCTGGTTCATGCGTCTAAGCAACCCCTCCGAACTACTGCAGGCAATCCGTTATCATGCATGTGGCGATAAGTTGGCCAATACCTTGACCGCTGCCATCAACAAGCATCTCCACGTCCGAGTGAGTAAGCATCGGCCGTTGTACAAACGATTCTTCTGACGTCGAGCGCGGTAGTATATCTCGCTTAGCACGACCCATGGCGATCGCTTCTTCGTACAATTCGCAGACCACAGCATTACGTGGGGCAATGCCGGGCAGCACGTCAGCAAGGATTTGAATGATATAGCTAAGAATTACGGCGCCAGGGTGCGCAAGGTGGATACTCTGGGATGATGCACAAGATCATCTAAAGTCGTATAGGTAAAGGAGTCTACGTGGTATCAGCCCACAATGCCGCCAATCACTTCCGGTCCGTCATCGTGGACGCATGCACATCTCCTCAAGTGGCCCGTCGAGCGCCCGCGACCAGGCGGACGCGTTGAGGGCGGAGGGGTTGCAGGTGAGCAAGCGTGGGGGGAGTTCAGGGTGGATTTGGGGCGGTGGGGGTGGTTTCGGAGAAATCCAGCTTGGGGAAGCAAGATAGTATTGTGCCAGTCGCAAATGACTCGGATCGCCTCGTAGTCTGCTCTCGGGTAGGCGAACGACACCAGGCGCTCGAGGTCGGAATAGTGCAGGAACGCTCTCTTGCGCGGGTTGTCTGCATAGTGCGCGAAGGTCTCGACCCAGGCAGATGATTCGGCACGCAAGGTGTCTTATAGTGGATTGCAAAGTGGAGGAAACGGGCAAAGATATTAGAAGTCAGGCAACTTGAACTCTATAGCGGAGAAAGCTGAAGGTTTCTGTATCGTCAGACACCCGGCTTCCCGCGCACTTTATAGGCCTTTCAATCACCGTAGCTGTGCATGAATGTAGCTGGAGGACGTTGTCTGGCTCCGAATAGATCAGCCTTGACAGGATGAACCAGAATAGAATGCGCATACACGCCGCAGGCGCCTCGGTTTTACCGTGAATGCGAACGGTGACATACCCATATCACCGAAATTTGGCACGTCGAGGTAAGGAGCACCCAAGACAGCTGCAGGTAATAAAATCCCGGGGACGACTCTCCCATCCAAAAAGGCTGTGGCATTCCTCTTCCTGTATCATCTAGGACAGTATGGTATCATCCAAGCTCCTCCCACATGTTCCATTACTGATGTTGAATATACAGAGGATCCTTGCAATCGTAGTGACCACAGAGCAAAGTGTCGGAAAATGACTCCATGGTAATCGACGGCCGTCGGGATTTGCAAGCTCGAAGCAATTCCAGACCATTTTTTTCAAGGGAGCGAGAACGAGTCAATCGAAGTGGCCGGATAGGGGCACCTACGTCAATCGATAGAAGCACGACGTGCGACCAGAATAAATAACGTTACGCTTAGGAGATACCATACTTACTCGTTTGAAAGTTCAAGTCAGGCCGAACAGCCAGGGAGAGCAACCGGGGACGTATACTGTGAAGGACGCGGTGATCTGCGGGACCATGAACGGTGATCCAGATCAAGAGGCTTGTTCCAGCTTACCAGTCGAAATGGAACGCCAGAACTCATCCATTCTCCTTTAGATATTAAGATCAAACCATAAGTGTCCTTCCAAGCTTGGAGGTATCAGGGTCAGAATTGTCGCTGCAGCATTCGCAAGCATGATTTAGACCGAGATCATTGATGTCGCAAGTTGTAGGGGACATCCCACGAGTATGCGCTTCCTCACAGGACTTCGAGGTCCCAGCATCAGTGGAAAATGATGACCGTCGAAAATTGCCCTCTGAGTGTACGAGTCGACGCCACGACGACCAGCCGCAAACTGAATCACGAAGATCTAGAGACGCGATGTGTCACGTCACGGATTAACCTAACCTCGCGCTCTGACTGAGATTGCCACATGCGTGGCACGAACCTGTCTCGACTGTATCTTGGATATGCTACTTTGGAATGCATCATTTTCAAGGAGGGATGCTGAGGTTCTTCAGGTGTAATGGGATCGGTAGGACTCTGCTGACTCCTGCATGCGGCAACTATTCGCCAAATTTTCATGCGAAGCGAT